TGGGGCGGGTGAGAGCGCATTTGCCTCGTGGGTGGCTGCTTCCTCGGATGCGACGTGGAGGCGCGCGGGGTGGAAGGGGTTAAAACGGGAAAGTGTTGTCACCCAGCCCTTCTCCGACTAAAGTTACTCCTCTCCCCTTTTTCCTTTGCGCTTTTGATTTTCTTGGCGCTAGTGTCATCCCGCTTCTAAACCTGGAGCAGATGTTTGGTTCTGAGCGCATTTGCCTCGTGGGTGGCTGCTTCCTCGGATGCGACGTGGAGGCGCGCGGGGTGGAAGGGGTTAAAACGGGAAAGTGTTGTCACCCAGCCCTTCTCCGACTAAAGTTACTCCTCTCCCCTTTTTCCTTTGCGCTTTTGATTTTCTTGGCGCTAGTGTCATCCCGCTTCTAAACCTGGAGCAGATGTTTGGTTCTGCCCGTTTCCCGCCTTCCCCTCGATTCCTGGGACTACGTGTTCTGCCCCGAGGGCTGTGCACCTAGGACTCTGCAGCTACCGCGGGGTGCTCCCTTCATTTTCCTGCACCCCTTCTCATTTGTGGTGGCATGATGAGGAAAGTGTTGTAGTGGCAGGTTGATTTGGACGGAAAATAAATTTCTGCCTTGCGGGGAAGCTTAGCAAATTTTCCGCGGTGACTGGGTGGTCAGGATGAACGATTCACACTGGGGCGCCTCTTTGGGAAGGTGGCCCACGCCCGTGCTGCGCGCATTTCCATGAGACTCTTGGCTCAAGGGCGCAAAGGTTTCCCAGGGACTGGTCAGATCTCAGAGGTTTGGACCAGCTCGTACCTTGAAGCAATTAAGCTTCTGTGCCATCAGATAAGTGCTGCGTCTTCTCTTGCGAGTGAAATCTGGGCTCACACTGTTAATGGGCTCACGTCTTTCCCTTGATAATATGGTTTTGTTTATTGAGTGTAGAGAGACGGGAAATAAAAGTGCAATTGGCACAGGAAGCTGAAGGCTAGAAAGGTTACAGAGACAAGCTTTACATTGACAAACTTTCCAACTTCCTTAGCATTTCTTTTAATGCTGTCATCCGTGGGGCTGTAGGAAAGTAAGTTAAATAAATAGGGGTTATTGTACGCAGTAGTAATGAAAAAGGTTGGTTTCCTAAAACCTTGTATAAATGAAGACTCTAGCGTCTTCTTAGCTTATTCAAGTGCCCTTGAAAACTTGATCTATTACAGCCTGTAAGTAATGGTGACCGAGGTTCTATTACTGTTTTACTGATCCACTTGTCATGAAAGAGCGATTGAGCCCTTACCTAAAATTCCACTCTGTGGCGATCTGGAGAATTGGAGCCATCACGGTGCAGGGAGCCGGCTCCTTACAAGGATGTGAACTGTGAATAAAGCCTCACCTGAAGATCGGCCTGAGGATGAGGCTGAAGGCCCTCTAGGTGTGTGGTCGGTCACCTGTGAAGGAAGGAGCTCAAGGCTAAAGGGTGTGGGATTACTGCACTGCTGTAGTTGTTGAATTTGACTGGGAAATGGAATCCTCTGCTGAAAATAGCCCTTTGGCTCTGAGCTATCCACACTGTTGCCTGGAAGCAAATTTTGGGAGATTTAGCTTTTGCTGAGAGAAGAACATCATATACTAAAAGAATGAGTTTTGTTGTTGTTGTTCCCATTTCACAGCTATCCTGTGAGTGGAGGTGGGGAGTAGTGTTTGGGGTAGAGTTCAGTACTTATTCAGACCCAGTTAGATCCACTGATAATCCTACACAGACTGCTACATTCTGTTCATCCTTCATTCCCTTTAATCTCCCAGTCCCTGGCAGATCTCCTTCATCTGGCATCAGGATTTCTTTCTCCATTCCTTAACTGGTTCTTGACTTACTGAAGTTGGACATCAAGACACTGATCATCTCATACCCAGATTGAGCAGATGTTTGCCAACTATCCACCATGTAGGACATTTTGTTAGAGAAAGGTTAGGCCAAGGGGTGGGGGGGACCACTCTCAAACCAAAGGAACAAGAGATTCATTTATGATTCAGGTCTTAGTTGTGCTCTAAATCTACTCCTGAAGAATCTTTTTTGTTCTGAGCTATACTTTCATTTATAATTCTTTGAGAAATTAGAAGGTATTGTTGAGGGAAATTTGTGAATATAGGATATTTTTAGTAATTTTAAAGTTTGTATCACTCACAGGGTATGAGAGAAATGTCTAATTTTATTCTTCAGCCCATCAATTCCCATGGGTCACTTACCCTGCAGGGGACCTGGTGCTGTGAGTTCTCCATGGGAGGTGACAGCAGAGAAACCTGATTACCAGGTCTTGTTTGATGTAGGAATGCTTTGAAATCTCTTCTAGCCTGCTCACCATAGCAGCCACCCCCTACTTACTCCCAGTGCCAGTACCTTTCTTTCACTTTGTAGTGAGGAGCTTCTTCTCTGAAGGCAAGTGATGAAATATGGCAGTCTGGTCTTCTGTGTTTAAGTTGTTCCTAGGAAATCCCTGGCAACCCCCTTCCACAAGTCCCAATGAGCTACCTGTTGGAGACACTTTGACATATTCAAACTCAGCTCCACAAGCCCAAAGCATAAGTCACTAAAGGGGGGAGTCTTTTATACCAGATTAAGAGCAAATGAGATTAATAGACAATGCTCAGTAGCATTCTCCTGTTATTCTAGGATGGAGGTGGAATAAAGTAGTGCTAGGGATAGGAATTTGAACCCTCTTAGAGGCCTGATAATATGACCTTCCTTGAGGAAAACAGTTTAGGGCACTGTGCCTTTCTTTCCCTGGGAGTCTGTCCTACTTGATACAAGGTGAACATTCTATAAATGTTTGTTGGACAGAAATAATGAATGGTGCTGATTTTATCCTAATACTAGTCAAAGGATATCCTTGGATTACTGACTCTCAAAACCACTTGGTATGAGTCAGAGCACCATAAAAGCTTATTTAAAAGTAGAGGACCCTTCATTCCCAGAAGTTTTAATCCAATAGGTCTGACTTAGAACTATTTTTAACAAACCTCTTGAGTGATCTTAAAGAAAGGTTCTCCAGAACCGCACTTTGAAATTTCTGATTGGGAGTTGGGAAGACAGGGCAGTATGAGGAGAAAGTATTTTTGGTTTTGTTTTTGTTTTTGGTAGGGGGGGGCACCATGAACAGTGAGAGGTCATAGCTAACTGGTACATGAGTATACCTGAAATGTCCAGAAACCTGTTGAGTGGCAGGGCAGACCCGTCAGATGTCAAGGTCAAACTTAAGTTCAGAGAGCTAAAGTTCCAAGAAATATTCTCAAGAAGTGATCAGTAAGCATCGCCCACGTTTTGCTGGTTTTGCAGAGACTGGGTGCTGCTTGCAACTTCCCTAACTTGGCTTTCATGATGCCAGCAGGGTAGGAAATGAGGATTTGTCTCTTCCAGCCTCTTCTGAAAAATTTGGAAGAGTTCTGAGGCAATGAAAGAAGGTTAAGAGTGGGAATAGGAGCCTTCGACTCTGATTTTGTTTTTCATCTTTCCCAATGGAAAGGTGCTTTGGAGGCCCAAGGCTTCCAGCTAAATAAAACCTAAGCTGTGATTTAACCTAAGCTATGACTCTTCCTCTGGCTGAAGGCTGACCTTTCACAGCCTGTGACAAAACCAGAAGGTACCTTCGAGATAAGCTACATCAGACTCAGAGAGGAAGTTCCTTTACTCAGAACTATTAAAAGGCAATGCCACTCTGCAAGAAATAAGGGAGCTCTGACTCCGCAGTTCACTGACTGTCCACAGTCTTCAAAGAGGAAGAAATAAGGTCACCTCTGGTCCTCTCCACTGTGGCAGGCCTCAGTGTTGAAGAAGCAGAGCAGTCTTCCAGGAGGCACCTATCATAGGGCTTGTTCCTAAGAGACCACATATTATAGGGCTTGACTGAGAAGCCTAAGGCCCTCCCTGTGGGATTTGTTTGCTAACCCTCTAGTATCTCCACTTTGAGGCTTCTGCAAGAGAGGGCAGAGATAGACCTAGGTCCCCATCCTGCACTACCAAGCAAAGGTAAAAGATCCCCTCATTCCTATTGAGGTTGACCAGCAGCAGGCCCTGGAAGGCAAAAACAGGTGTTCCTAGATTGATCTCACTGGATAGAGGAAGTACCAAAAAAGGATATGTTTCTACACACACAGGCATGCCCGGGTGGGCTATACTTGTACTAGCCAATTAAAATATGTTTCTTTATTTTCAAAATAGGCAACAACACATTTACACTTAAATGGTGCAAGATTCAAAGGGGTATGCAGCCATCTAGTTTCCCTTTTGACAGGCAACTGATTTTATTAGTTTCATGAATTTTTTCCAGAGATACCTTAACAATTCATACCTCCCCATGGTTTTTTACACAAATGTTAGCATGCTACCGAGCCATGCTTCTTCCTGTTATACCTTGAAGATCATCCCATGTAAATACGTATAGAACTTCCAGCTAAGTTTTACAATTTAATACTGTTCTACTTTATATACCCGCCACAGTTTATATAGCCAGTCCCCTTCCTAGACA